CAGGCTGGATGGGCAGTGCCTAGTCCATCCGCAGACCAAATCCAGCCAGTAGTCCCAATCTGGCACCTGGGGCAGGCACAGGAGGCTCCATCTGGCTGTGTGGAGGGAGGCAGGGGACAGCCTAGCCCCATGGAGGAAGAGAGGACTTGACCCAATCTGGCAGGGAGGAGGGGGCGTGACTCGGCAGCCTTGTCAGGGGGGTAACCCAGTCCTAATTACCTGGGGGGTGAGGGGGCTTGGCCCCGCCCTTATCCAGCCATTAGAGGGGCATGACCTGACCCTAATCCAGCTGTGGGGAGGAGGCGGTGTGTCCCGGCTCTGCAGGAGGGAAGGAGGTGTGGCCCAGCTCCAGCCCACTGCTTGGGTTTGGGTATTTGGCAAGGGGGAGGGCATCAGTCTTAATTGCCACCGCTCCCCCACTACCAAATTTCCTGACCTGTGGGGAGCCCAGTGGGCCTGATACAATGGCTCTGTGGCCTGAATTGGGCCTGAAGGCCAGAGGTTGAGCACTCCTGCTCTATTGTGAGCCTTTCAGTGACAAACCATCCAGCAATCATCCACACTGTGCAACCCATGTTTTCTTCCTGAATCATTTCCACCTGTGAAGAGAGCTAATCACATGGACCCAACTCTTTGCCCTTGTACCGGGATGAATTAAAGACCTGGAGAAAAAGAGTGCTTTCTCTCACCTATTATCGGACATTAAGAGCCTCAGTCCTATTTCCCAAATTATTTAGGTCATGCCTTCCCCAAAGTCCATTTAAAGTCTGATTTATCAGGGAACTGAACACCTGCTACCTGCTAAGTTTGACAACTTCAACTTTATTTCTAGTGAGGTACTAGATTTTTATCCATGCAACAAATAGTTTCTTTTTATCTTAAATAAGAGCTTATCATTAGGCTTTAATTCTCTGTTTACTTTTCTGTATGAATGCATTATGAAATCATTTTTCTTTGGGTTATAATTTTTTTCTTCGTTATATAGATACTAGCGAATTGCCCATCAAGAATGATGGGGGGGTGGGCAGGGACAGAGCACTGCCACCGCCACCCTGCCTCCTAGGAATGGGACCATCTCCACCCGCCACTGCCTCACAGGAACAGGGTTGGGGGGAAGCTTGCCCCTCCATCCCCTTCCACCAACACCCCACAATGCTACGCCTCCAAGGAGCAGGGCTGGGGAAGGTGCGGTGGGGGGCAAGGCCAGCAGCACAGGCTTTGCCCCCTCACTCCATCCCCACCATCATGGCAGCGCTCTGCTGTCCCACTCCATCCCTGCCATTCCCTCCGCACCACCACCGCCTCCAAGGAGCAAGGCTGGGGTGGAGCAGGGGCGAGGCCAGCAGCGCTGGCCTTGCCCCCCACTCTATCCCCACCGTCATGACAGCACTCTGCAGAGTGCTCTGTCTGTACAGAGCACTCTGATTGGTTATTTCAATAAGCATTGTGATTGGCTGCTGAGACAACCAATCAGATTACTCCAAGAGCATTATGGACGGGCACACAGACACACAGACAGATGGATTAAGCCCTTTATATATAAAATTCCTATTGTAGTTTATATAGTTATTGTTCATTTTGCGCGTCTTTAAAAAGTTGTGGTTAACTATTAAATAACTCCTCTTATGTTCTGTTGATATTGGTGCCTGTGCTCTGGGATAAGTCAGCCTTCTGCTTAAATGACATCTTGGTGGTATCAATCTGTAATTTATTAAGAAAACTAACTAAAATTAATTCTAAGATTATTATTCATAATTATACAGATCAGAGACCAGCCAGTAGTAGGACAGTTAATCCCAGACAGTTATCTGGAGCTGGAGAAGAGAATTTTATTTGAACGTAAAAACGTCCAAAGCGAATTTCCTGTGATTGATCAGAAGCGATTATTAGAACTGGTGCAAGAAAGCCAGTTACAGCTGGATGAAAATGAACTTCCTCATGCAATTCACTTTCTGAATGAATCAGGTAGTATATTTTCTTCCTTGTGTGATGTTAGGTTTTAGAATTGTTTAGCAGACAAACTTATTTATATTGTTGTTGTTCACAGGATTGCCACAACATGGTGGGCTGATACGTTAGTCTAATTTAAGGTTTCATTTTGTTATCTTAGAACCTAAGAGAACAAAACTCTGTGAAGGATTATGCTGTTAACAGTTTACATCTTTTAATTCCCTTTGAAAGGAATAAGCCAGATGGATAGAAAACAGGATTTAGGAGAAAAGATAAGAATAGTAGACAAGCTTGTGAGAAGGACAGCATTTATAAATTTTAACTGCTTATTTCAGAATACAAACTGAGTGATTAAGGATGCTTAAAACAAAATAATAATCAACACTGAATCTTTACTGAAGAAAGGAATAAATCAGATTATGAACATAAACATGGCACTTGGAAATAAACTGACTCGACTCCAATCCTTTGAGTTATGTTCATCAAAGATAACACACAGTTGAGCACCTAAAACCAATGTTGTTTTATATGAATGTTACATGATCTTCTAATTATAGTTTCTTGGCATAGGTGTACTGCTACATTTTCAAGACCCAGCACTCCAGCTAAGAGATTTGTATTTTGTGGACCCAAAGTGGCTCTGTAAAATAATGGCACAGGTTAGTTTCTTGTAACTTTTTTATAGCCCTTGATACAGCGCTTTCCTGCATCCCCAGCTACTGTAGCTGACCTGGCCTCTTCTTTCCTCATTTCTTCCCAATATCATGACTCACTTCTCCCTTCACCCTTTACTTCTGCTTTGGACTTAATTACTTCTTCCTATTCCTTTTAGTCATTTTGTGGCTAAGGTATGTCCCAGTGCCCCCTTTATCTATTTTGTTACTTCTGTCTTATACTCCTCGCCCTGCAGTGACTAGCAGAACACAGATAAAATATGGAGGTTAGAGATGGGATGTAGCATAATCCTCTAGTATATTGTTAGAAGTTGAGGTGAAGACTGGAGGTCTGTACTGTAGCAATGATAATGACCTGAAATGGAAGGAGAGCAGGAAAGAATGGTAATTAGGCTTTGGAGAAGGTGAAGGAAGGGGGTGGGTGGGGGTTTCAGACCTGGAAACAGGTAAGAAAAGGGCCTGTGGAAACAGTTCAGCTGGAAAGCATCGACCACTACTTTAGTAGTTTGGAAAAGATCCAAATTTTTGGATGGTTGTTCAGATTTCCAAATCTTTGAGAATTAACCTATCACTAATTAACATTCAGAATAATTTCCCATATGCTAGGCAGCATGCAAGTCACTAATGTACACTAAGACACTACCGTGCATGGATAGGAATTTAAATAAGATCATGAGAAGTGCTTGTTCACTGCTAGTTCCCTGTCCTCAGCTGGCTTATC